GCTGGAGAAGGATATCTTGCTGGGTAAGGTGGAGGGTCAGAGAAAAAGAGGAAGACCCTCAATGAGGTGGATCAGCTAGGTGGCATCATTGATGGCGTCAACTGTGGTGGTGATAGTGAGGTTCGCCCAGGATCGGACATTGTTTCCTTCTGCTGTGCATGGGGTCGCTATGAGTCGGTTCCGACTTGATGGCACCTGACAACAACTACAAGGTCCACAGAAAGTTTATGAGTATATCTTGTACTGTTTATTAGTCTTTATGTAGCTGATACTACAAATAGACAATTGCAACAGAAACATATGCTTGAAACAGACAATTGAAATGATATAAAATAGTACAAGGGAGCATCAAAAATTCATTGAAAAATTACCTTATCTTTTAATTGCAGTTTTCCAGGAACTTTTTGAAGCCTCTTGTATATATTGAGTGCAAGTGTAAATTGTTAGGCTAGCAGATGTATGGAAGAAAATCACTGTGATCTTAGGTTATTAAAGTAAGTCTTTGATAATTAATGCAGTAATATTATTTAGGAATCCTGGTGTGGCGCATAGGAAAGCATTCTACCTCAAGGTCAGTTTGAACTGCAACATCAGCTCTGCTCCTCAGAAGCTCTTTATGAGGTCCTTAGGAGAACCAACTCAACAGCACTTTTACGAGGTCCTTATGAGTTGGAACCAACTCAATAGCACTTAACAGCAATACCATTAAGATTTGCATGCTAAGCATGTTTACTTATAGTATCTTCACAGTGACTCTGAAAAGGAATAGTCATTATAACTGCCTTTGAGCTATCAGTGACCAAACTGAGGCACAGAAACTGATTGAGTTGGCCAGTCTCGTGAAGCTAATGAATGGAAGAGACATTGGGGAACAATTTTTTTTATAAATATCCATCTATAGGAAAGATTGAGTAAATCTTGAGAAGACTCTTTAATGAATTATTATGCAAAAGTTATGTAAATATGTGACATATCATGGGATTACACTTGAGTTCAATGGTAAGAGAAACAGAAAACATATGCATAGATGATAATGTAAAAATAGATAAAATAAAAAATAACAAATATATCCACAAGGTTAGCTGTTTGGATAATGGAACATTAGGTGGTTTGTTTCTTTTTTATATTTCTAAAGTGTTGTTAAAAATTAACATAGCTATATGAAATACACATTATTTTCGTTATTTAGAACTGTAATTAGGAAGTAAGTATCTGTTTATTGCCAAATCATTTAGCTTACATCTTAATCACCTTTTATATATATTTCAATATATAAGTTCTTTTTAGATAGAAAATAAAAATTAATTTTGAACTGATGTTAGAAACTTTGTTTTGTCTTGTAAATTTCAATTAATTTTACTTTTTGTTCCATATCCCAATAATTTTAGATTTAATTCAAGATTGGTCTAGTGATAATGCTCCAGACATTTTTTCATTTGTTCCATATACATGGACTTTTAAAATCATGTTTCATCAGTTTGAAATGATTTGGGCTGCTAACCAACACAATTGGATTGACTGTTCCACCAAACAACAGGAGAATGGTAAGAAATTATTAAAATTTAGGTTATGTATTCTCATTAAGAAATCAAAAATTTAGCATTGCTTTTATAGTTTTAGTAGATATTAGAATTTATTTTTCCCCATTGTAAAACTTTAAGAGGAACATTTCAGAGTTTTTCTTGGATTAAACATTGTTTTATTTGAATGTGCATTTAAGAAGATTTTCATTAAAATCTTACAGAAGTTAAAAGTAAATTTTCTTTTTCTTTTTCTTTTTTGTAGTTTATCTTGCAGCCTGTGGAGAAACATTAAACATTGATTTCTCTTTGCCTTTTACGGACTTTGTACCAGCTACATGTAATACCAAGTTCTCTTTAAGAGTACGTATAATTGGATATATTATTTATTTCACAAGGCTTATTTGTAGATTTTATTTCCTAAAGTTTTTCTGTACTCTCCCATGGGAACCTGAGATACTTCATTTCAGCTTTCCATCATTCTATTAGCCTCATAGAAGTGCTGCTCTTTCTTCTTAACAGAATTGCTGCTGTTTCTTTTAAATAGTTATCTGCCCTAAGAAGTTGGACCTTCTATCCCTGCCTTCTTTCCTCTTCCTCTAAAAAAACCCTGAATTGGTTATTTTCTTAGAGCTCTTATTTAACCTTTGTGGATAATCTATATTTTCTTCTAAGACTTTTTTGTAGCTTTAATGTGGAGCATGGTGGTTCCATACCATGAGCACTAGACTGCAATTCTTTCAGTGTCCGAGGTTTGAGCCCACCAGCTGCTCCACAGTAGAAAGATGAGGTTCTCTGCTCTTGAAGATTTCAAATCCTCGGAAACCATATACAGGGTCGATATGAATCGGAACTGACTCAACGGCACTAAACAACAATATTTGCTAAATTTATTATGTAGATTTGATACATGTCTGTAATTGATGTTTAATTCCAACCATAAATTGAAGGAGTGACCATAATCATCTTACGTCCTTTTATCAGTAAACTAGCCTTTATGTACTTTACTAAACTCAGTATTTATAGAACACATAATCTTTGGGTGTGGGCAAGTAGTAGTAGCTCTAGTGTTAATTATGGTATGGTCGTAAAAATAATAATGTGAACAGCTGACATCTATTAAACATTTTTCTTGTGTCAAATATGCTTTCAAGTTCTTTATATGTAATAACTCATTTCATTCTCAGAACAACATTTTTAAGCCTGTAGTTAAGTGCCATTGAGTCGGATTTACAGCTATCCTGTATAGAGTTTCCAAGGAGTGGCTGGTGAGCTTGAACCACCAACCCTTTAGTCCAGTGCATTAACCCACAGCGGATTATTATTATCTGCATCTACAAATTAGGAAAATAAGGAACAGAGTTTATGTAGCTAGTGATTGTCCAAATTGGAATTTTAATTCAATCAATATAGCTTAGGAGCTTGGTTCTTTTAACCACTACTGTATTATACTGTTGTTACTGTTGTTAGGTGCCATTGAGTCACTTCTGACTTATGGCAACCCTGTATAGGGTTTCTGAGGAGCAGCTGATGGGTTAAATCCCCGACCTTGCGGCTAAGAATTGGGTTCTTATCTTAAAGCGCCATACCAGGACTCCCTGAACTAAAACTCAATATGAAATCAGGTATCAAGATGAGCAAAGACTAGCGGACCTATAAGGAAGAAATTGAAACCAAATGAAAATATGCAAATCCAGCATTATTAAAATTACTAAAAGCCAGCTGAGGAACCTAGTCTTAATAGAATCAAAATACAATCATATTTTAAAAGTTAATAATAATAAATAAAAAACCATAACACACTCTAATGGTGAGGGGATTTTTACAGATGTATTTTTTTATGAAATACATGGTTTTCTTTTTCACTGTTAGATGGAAACTACTATTTTTTTCCCTGACTTTTTTTCTAGTTATTTAGCTGACAGTTCAATGTAAAATCTGCTATTTGAAAGTAATGTTTATTTCTCTCAAGTTTATTTTCAAGATTGTTTTAGTATTTGACTTTAAATGGTGGTGTTAGTATGCCATGGAACCAGTTCCAACGGATAGCAACCCTGTACAGGGTTTCCGAGGCTGCACATCTTCACTGGAGCAGAAAGCCTCATCTTTCTCCTGTGGAATGGCTGGTAGTATCATACTGCTGGCCCTTGGGATTGGCAGCCTGGCTGGTAACCGCTATGCTACAGTGTCCTAATATTTACATACCTTTAAAAAAATTTTTTTTAATCACTTTTGGTTATTATAAATTATTTTTTAGGGAGAAGATGTTGATCTTCATTTATTCCTGCCAGATTGCCACCCCAGTAAATATTCATTGTTTATGTTGGTAAAGAATTGCCACCCAAATAAAATGACTAATGATACTGGTATTCCTGCTGAATGTCAAAGTGGCCAGAAAACAGTTAAACCAAAATGGAGGAATATTACTCAAGAAAAGTGAGTCACATAAAATTAGTTACCTTTTGTGTTTATATATAACAAATTATTATTATTACTTTGAAGTATAATATTTGATTAGATGTAACTGGTATCTATACAATTAATGAACAAGTGCTAGAAGCTTTGTTTTTTCCTCTTTAAAGGGCTGGTTGGGTTGAATGCTGGACTGTCCCAAGTGTGATGTTGACAATTAATTATACATGGCATCCAATTTATCCACAAAAAGCAGATGAACAGCTAAAGCAATCATGTAAGTGTTTTCTGTAATTTGATCCTTAAAACAGCTGGCATTGTGATTGATAATCATCTTTCATAAGTACATTTATTTTAAATCTTACTAAGATTGTCTTATAGTTATTGTTGTTGCTAAGTGCTGTTGAGTTAGTTCTGACTCATAGCGACCCTGTATAGTGTTTTGAGGAGCATGCTGGTCAGTTTGATCCACTGACTTTGTGGTTCATTGTGACCTTGCAGTCCAGTGCTTATCCTACAGCTCCACATTAGGACTTTTATTGTGTATTGACCAGGTATCAAGTACTGAACCATGCAGTTGCAAATTTACATACGCTCATCTATGATAATCATATGAGATAAATATTGTTGTTTTTATTGTTTTCAATTTAGAGTTGACAAAATTAAACTTAGAGAACATAAGTAATTTCTTCAAGATTTGTAATGCATTGGATTGCAAAGTTGATTTGATCCGCAGGGTTGATGGTTTAAGCTCATCAGCCGCTCTTCGGAAACTGTATACAGGGTCACTGTCGGTCAGAATCGACTTGATGTTACTTAACAACAACAGCAGCAACAATGCTTGAAGCAGCATAGCTGGAATATGAAATAAAGTCTGTTGTTAGGTACCTCAAATTGATTCAGACTCATAGTGGACCTATGCACAACACCATGAAACCCTGCCCTGTCCTGTGTCAGCCTCACAATTGTTATGTTTGAACTCATTGCTGCTGTCAATATATCAGTTCCTATCTTGGGGGTTTTCCTCCTTTTCAATGACCCTCTATTTTACCAAACATGATTTCCTGTTTCAGGGATGGTCCCTCCTGATAATATGTCCAATATCTGATAGGCAAAGTCTGGCCATAATGGCTTCTCAGGAGCATTATGACAACACTTCTTCCAAGACAGATTTGTTGGTTATTCTGGTAGCCGATTGTACTCTCAATATTCTGCTCTAACATCATAACTCAAAATGCATCAGTTCTTCAATGGTCCTTCTTATTCGCTGCCTGACTTTCACATGCATTTAAGGTAATTGAAAATCCCATGGCTTAGGTCAGGTGCACCTTAGTTTTCAAACAGGTATCTTTGCTCATTAATAATGAAAAGAGTTTTTCTGCAACAGAGTTGTTTAATGTAATATGTTGTTTGCTTCCCTGACTGCTGCTTTTATGAGTGTTGAATGTGTGTCCAAGCAAAATGGATGGTTAGAAATATGCATCTATTCCAGTCATTCAGTATTTTTCCTGTAGAATCCTTCCTTATAGCAAGTTGAGACTTGAGTGTTTTCTTCAGTTCTTTCTGCTTGAGGAATGTTCATATCTTTTGTTTTCTAACTCCAGGTCTTTGGATATTTCATTATAAAATTTTTGAGCTGCCCTTTGGAATTTTCTGTTTAGATCTTTTACCTCCTAATTTCTTCCACTCATGGTAGCTTCACTGTGCTCAAGATCAAGTTTCAGAGTAATTTTTGACATCCATTTTGTTCTTTTCTTTCTTGGCTGCCTTTTAAATTATCTTTTGCTTTCTTCCTGTATGATATTCTTTATGTAATTGCACAACTTTTCTGATATTCACCTGTTAGTATCTAATGCATCAAATCTGTGCTTTGATTGATATCTAAATTAAAATGGGATATATTCAAGTTCATATTTTGGCTCTTATGAACTTGTTTAATTTTCTTCAGCTTTAGCTTTAACTTGCATATAAGCAATTGATGGTGTGTTCCACAGTCTGCCCTAGGCCTTTTTTTGGCTGAGGATATTGAGATTCTTGACCATATCCTCCCTACAGATGCAGTCATTTTGATTCCTGTGTTCCACATGGTGAGGTCCATTGTATAGTTGTCTTTTTTGTTGCATAAAAAAATAAGAAGTCGTTGGTTTTGCTAAATTTGATCATGCAATTTCCAGCATCATTTCTTTCACTAAAGTTATATGTTCCAACTGCTGATAGTTCCTCTTTGCTTTTTACTTTCACATTCCAGTCACCAGTAATTATCAATGCATGTTGATCGCATATTTGCTCAATTTCAGGCTGAGTAAGTTGGTACAATTCTTCAATCTCATCATCACTGGCTGTAGTGGTTCATATGTAAATTTCAGTAGTACTGGCAGTGACTGATGTTCCTGTAGGTGCCTGGATATTATTATATAGCAGACAGCATTGTACTTTGAGATAGATCTTGAAATGTTCTCTTTGACAATGAATGTCATGCCATTCCTCTTCAATTTTGTTTTTCTCCACTTAGTAAATCATATGACTTCAGATTCAAAATGGCCAATACCAGTCAGTTATGTGCTGGGCTGCATAGCCTGTTTGAACCGCAAGATTGGTGGTTCAAGTTCACCAGCCACTCCGAGGAAGATCTATACATGGTCACTATGGATTGGAACCAACTCAACGGCACCATCCACTAAAGGCAGTAATGATGAAACTGAAGAATTTGATCAACTTTTTCAGTCTGAAATTGATCAAACGTGTAATCAAGATGTATTGATAAATACTGGTGACTGAAATGCAAAGATTGGAATCAGAGAGGAAGGATCAATAATTGGAAAATTATCCCTGGAGATGACACTGGAGATGACATGAGAGAAGTATGCATTACCAATAACTGATTCATTGCAAACAACATGAAAGATGACTATGCACAAGAACCTCAACAGACGGAATGCACAGAAATCAAGTTGACTATATCTGTTGCAAGAGATGGTGGAAAAGCTCCATATTATTAGCCAAAACAAAGCCAGGGGCAGACTATGGAACAGACCATCAACTGCTCATGTGCAAGTTCAGGCTGAAGCTGAAGAAAGTAAAAACACGTCCACAAGAGTCAAAATACAAACTTCAACATATCCCACCTGAATTTAGAGATTATCTGAAGAACAGGTTTGATAAAATAGACACTAATGACTGAAGACCAGAAGAATTGTGGGATGACATTAAGAACATCATACAAGAAGAAAGCAAAAGGTCATTAAGAAGAAAAGAAAAAAGGAAAAGACAAAAATGGAAGCCAGAAGAGACTGAAACTTACTCTCCAGTGTGGAAATGCTAAAACAAATAGAAGAAACAAGGAGCTAAAAGAGTTGAACAGAAAATTTCAAAGGGCAGCTTGAGAAATACAAAGGCAAGTATTATGATGAAATGTGTAAAGACCTGGAGTTAGAAAGCCAACAAGGAATAACACACTTAGCATTTTTCAAGCTGAAAGAATTGAGGAAGAATCAAGCTTCAGATTACAGTACTGAAGGATTCCATGGGAAAAATACTGAATGATGCAGAAATCATCATTTGGTACAGTCACTGTACCAAAAAAAATTTTTTTTTGCTGTTCAACCATTTCAAGAAGTAGTATATTATCAAGTGCCAATGGTGCAGAAGGAAGAATTCCATTGTGCACTGGAGGTATTGGCAAAGAACAAACAAGGCTCTGGGAATTGATGGAGTACGAATTGAAATCTTTCAACAAACTGATGCAGCACTGGAGACACTCAATTTTCTTCAAAAAAGAAATTTGAAAGATAGCTACCTGGCCAACTGATTAGAAGAGATGCATATTTGTGCCCATTTCAAAGAGAGGTGACCCAGTGCAATGTGTAACTCATTGGACAATATCATAAATATCATATGCCAGTAAAATTTTGCTTAAGATCATTCAGAAATGGCTACATCATTCCATTGGCAGGGAACTTCTTGAGGTTCAAGCCTGATTCAGACGAGGCTGTGGAATGAGGGATATTGCTGAGGTCAAATAAACCTTGGCTGAAAGCAGATAATACCACAAAGATGTTTTTCTGTGATTTGTTGACTATACAAAGGATTTTAATTGTGTGTATCATGACAAACTATGGCTAACATTGCAAAGAGTGAGTATTCCAGAACACTTAATTGTGATTTGGAGGATTCTGAACTAAGACTAAGAGGCAGTCATTCTAACAGAACAAGAAGACACTGAATGGTTTATAATCAGGAAAGGTGTTTGCCAGGGTTGTATTCTTTTACCATACATATTCATTCTGTATGTTGAAGAAATAATCTAAGAAGCTGGGTTATAAGAAGAAGAGCGTGGCATCAGGATTGGAGGAAGACTCATTAACAATCTGCAATATGGAGATTATAAAACCTTGCTTAATGAAAGCAAAGAAAGATCAAAGACAACAACCTTCAGTATGGGTTGCATCTCTATGTAAAGAAAACAAAAGTCGTCACCACTGGACCAGTAAATAACATCATGATAAATGGAGAGAAGGTTTCATTTTGCTTGGATCCACTATAAAGAGTCAGGGAGTAAATCAAGTGATTTATTCAAGTAAACATATCTGCTGCACAATACCTCTTTAAAGTGTTCAAGAGCAAAGATACCAGTTTGAGGACTGAGGTGCACCTGACCCAAGCCATGGTACTTTTAGTAGTCACTATTGCATAATGAATAAGGAAGGCCTTAGAAGAATTGTTGCATTTAAATTTAGTGTTGGAGAAGATTTTAATAGTACCTTGGGCTTCCAGAAGTACAAAGAAACCTTTATTGGAAGAAGTACAGCTAGAATGCTCCTTAAAAGCAGAATGCCGAGACTTCATTTCTCATACTTCAGAATGTTATCATGAGGGACCAGTCCCTGGAGAAGGACATCATGCTTGGTAAAATGCAGTTTCAGTGAAAACGAGGATGAATTCCAATGAGGTGGTTTGGCACAGTGGCAGTAGCGATGGACTCAAGTATAACAATTATTGTGAGGGTAGCACAGAAATGGGCAGTATTTTGTTTTGCAGTACATAGGTCGCTGTGAGTTGGAACCGACTTGATGGCCCCTAAAAAAGAACAACTATCCTTAATCATGTTTTGAGTTCCTTTCAACCTGAGTGGTTTATCCTCCAGCATTATATTTGACAACGATTTGCTGCCATTCATAAAGTCATCATATTCTGGTACTATATTTGATGCTATTTTACTGCTACTCATAAGGTTTCCAGAGGATAAACATTCAGAAGTAGTCCACTTCTCCTTCCTGGTCCATCATGAGTGGCACTACTGGTATTTAAAATGCATCACAGCAAAATGCAAGCCACCACAGTATGGCAAAGTAACAGATGATTGGTGGTAATAAGGTCTGGATGAATCTTTGTATTTTAAAGTGTTTGATGATGTGAAATATTAGTTTCTTTAAGGCATTTTAACAATTATTTTATAATTTATTGTTCATAGAATGTAATTTGATTTATTACCTCAGTCCAAAAGGGAATTAGAGTCAAATAACAGTTTTCATTATTGTTTATATGCATGGTGGGTTGATAATATGCTGTATTTTTAATACTGTTTATGTAAAAACAGCTGAATAATTTAATGCCCATGTATAGTTAAGCCCTAAATGTGACCCAGAAGTATTCTGGAGTTGCTCAATAGAAATGTTTGTTGCTTGTATTAACAGGTACTTTTAGTTGTTTATATGCAATCTGATTTACATATATCTTTGTATATTTTAGTGAATTCTGTTCTTATTTGATTTCTAAATTATTGGTTTTTTAGATTTATTTTCATTTTATGTTATGTATAGATGTGTATTATATAAATATATCTTTTGGTCTTTTAGGTTTGTTTTCACTTTATATTTTATATGTTATTGTTGCTGTGCAGTGCCGTCGAGTCAGTTCCAACTCAGCGATTCTATATAGGGATTCTGAGTAGCAGCTGGTGAGCTTGAACTACTGACCTTGCAGTTCAAACAGTTTTGCATTCTGGCACATTAAGCCACAGCACCACACCAGATGTGTAATACACACACACACACACATCAGGACTAATTACTTTCACATTTGTAGAGTATAATTTCTTAGTGAGCAATTCCTTGAAGAACTTGTGTTATTTTTTTTCTCCTTGCTTAAACATCATTAATATTTTTCTTGCAATTTTTTTTCAGTGTCAGAAATGGAAGAAACAATGCTATCTGTACTAAGGCCGTCTCAGAAAACGACAGACAGAGCTGTTTCTTCTCCCTCTACTTCTTCACGCCCACCTGTTGATCCCTCAGAACTTCCACCTGATAAACTTCATGTAGAAATGGAACTCTCCCCAGACTCCCAGATAACTCTTTATGGACCTCTCTTAAATGCCTTTCTGTGCATAAAGGTATATTTTTATAAATCATGTATTTTTAAAGATAGTCAAAACATTTAAAATCTTACTGAAAACTGAAACCATTTGAAATAACAAGTTGGATGATAATAAGGTATTTAGTATGCATCATTTGTAATCCTGGTTGGTACTGTCAGATAAGGACAGCTCACCAAAAGGTTGGTGTTTCAAACCCACCAGCCGTTCCATGGATGCCCTTTACAAGGTTGTTATGAGTTGGAACCAACTCAAAAGCATTTAACAACAGCATAACATAAATCATTTACTACTGGATTTAGGATGATAGAATCAATTACAGAATTTTTTATTACAAGCAGTACAGTTCAGTTCAGTTTTATTGAGCAGTTAATTTGTTTCAGAAATAATACTTATTACAGAGATGCAATAGCATCTATTCTCAAGGACTGTGTATTTTAGAAGGAGAAACATTAACAACTTTTAATGCAATGGAAGTACAACAATATCTTTCTATCTGAGGATAATTGGTTCCAAGGAAAGTCTGCTTTTATTGAATCCAACATATTATGGTAAATAATGAACAAAAGATTTGTTTGGATCTTCGTCTTAAAAATTGAAGTAAATTTGTGAAAATGATTATATTTCACAATAAACGAAATTTATATTATGTTTAAATATGTACTGATACTTAGAACAAAGGCCAGAATGTTTTCATTGGCATTGCCTGATAAAACAGTACTACAACACTTTAAGTTTGATTTCTGTATTATGGCTATGAAGAGAAGTTATTTTTGGAGAAATATTTGAGGGCTTTCCACTCTTCAGAAGCCTTATATTCATAGGGTCCTATGAGTTTGAACCTACTCAGCAGCATTTACTAGCAACAACAACGTAGTCTAGGGGTATTCCTAAAGGATAAATCATTAGAATCAGGGATTTTATTCTTAAAATCAAGCATACTACAAATTTAAAAGAAGAACACAGTTTCTTAGTTCATTAAATCAATGTTTTTTAGTGTTTTTTGAAATTGATCTTTAAGATACTTTAATTTTTCATGCTGTTGTAGTTGTTAAATGCCATTGAATCAGTTATGACTCATAGCAAACCTGTATAGGGTTTCCAAGGAGTGGATGGTGATTTGACCCGCCGATCTTGTGGTTCAAGCTGACCTTCTGGTCCAGTGCTGTATCCCACAGTGCTACACCAGTGCTCCCTTCCCTTAAATGATGACATGAAAAATTAAACTACCTTTAAGATAAGTTTCAAATGACACTGAAAAAAACACTTTGGTTTAATGAACTAGAAAAATATATATATACATCTTATATATTGGTGAACTTTTGTTTTTTTTAAACTATCAGTGTAAATTAAATGTGTTTAGTTTACAGGACAGATCATCAGCCTTGTATCATGTTTTGTTTTGCAATTCCCTCTGTGCATCATCGTTAACAATATTTACTTCTCGTCCCTCTTTTATTTTTTTTGATGTACTCAAAATACACAGAAAAGATATATTTGGCACTGTGGGTTAATGTGTGCTGGATTGTAAAGTTGGTTTGAACCACATGGTCAGTGGTTGAAGCTCACCAGGTGCTCCTCGAAAACCCTATACAGGGTTGCTTTGAGTCAGAACTGACTCTATGGCACTTAACAACAACAACAAACAACCAAAGTACACATTTTGCAAGCCACCCTCCTGGCTGCCCTCACACAGCCTTTCGTTCCATGGGTCTAGAGTCCTCAGCTGCTCTGTCGCTCTGTGCCATCACCTCTGTTTTCCTCACTGCTTCTCTGGTTAGGATTCTGTGCTCAGCTCATGCTATTCCTTATTAATGATCCGGTGGTCAATAAGAATGAAACACTGCCTTGTCTTGCACCAACCTCACAATGGCTGTGGGCCAATCCAGTTCATTGGAGGTCTTCCTCTTTTTCGATGAACCTCCACTTTACCAAGCATGATGGTCTTCTCCAGGGAGTGGCCCCTCCTGATAATATGTCTGATGTATGAGAGTCAAAGTCTCTCCATTCTGACATCTAAGGAGCATTTTGGTTATACTTCTAATACAAATTTGTTTGTTCTGGCAGTTCATGGTGTTTTCAAGTATTCTCCAACACCATGATTCAAATGCATCAATTATCCGGTCTTCCTCATTCATTGTCTGACTTTCACTTGCATATGAGACTACTGAAAATATCATGCCTTGCATCAGGTGTACCTTAGTCCTCAAATTGACATATTTGCTCTGGAATACTTTAAAGTGATCTTTTGGTTGGGAGTTTTTTGATGACCTCATCAGTTTCTTCTTTTGTTATGGGTCTGTTCAAGTTTTCTACTTCACTCTAAGTTTTGGTAGGTCATGTTTTTCTAAAAATGTATCCATCTCTTATAAGTTTTCGAATTTGTTGGAGTACAACTTTTCATAGTATTCTATTATTATCCTTTGGATTTTGTTTGGTTCCATTGTGACATCACCATGTGGTTTCTGATGCGAGTTATTTGTGTCTTCTCCCTCTTTTCTTTTGTTAAATTTGCCATTGGCTTGTCAATTTTATTAATCCTTTCAAAGAATGAGCTTTTTGTCCTGTTGATTCTTTCTATAATTTTTCTGTTTTGTATCTCATTTATTTCTGCTCTTATCTTTTTTTATTTCTTTTCTTTTGGTGACTGTAGGTTCCCTCTGTTGGTCACTTTCTAATTGTTGGAGATGCTGTGTTAATGTGTTAATTTTGGTTCTTCTTTTTGGATGTGCACATTTATCGCAATAAATTGTCCTCTCAGCACCGCTTTCATCATGACCCAAAGATTTTGGTATGTTGTGTTTTCATTCTTGTTTGTTTCTAGGAACTTTATGAATTCACATTTAATTTTCTTGTTTTACCCGGTCACTTTTCAACAGGGTGTTGTTCACTTTCCATGTATTTTGCTTGATTTCCTTGGTCTTCCTATTGTTGATTCCTAATTTGATAGCCTTGTGGTCTGAGAAGATGCTTTGTAGTATTTTGATGTTTGTAAATTTATGTAGGCTTGCTTTGTGACCTAACACATGTTCAATTCTGGAGAATGTTCCATATGCACTGGAGAAGAAAGTGTATTGTGCTGTTGTTGGGTTGAATGCTCTGTACCCGTCTATGAGATCAAGTTGGTTGATTGTGCTGTTTAGTTCCTCTGTAGTTTTGTAAGTTTTTTTCTGGTTGTTCTGTCCCTTTTTGAAAGTGGCATATTAAAATGTCCCATCATAATTGTAGATTTATCTATTTCTTTCTTCAATTCTAGTAAGGTTTGCTTCATATTTCTTGGTGATTTTCATTGGGAGCGTAGATATTTATTATGGTTATGTTGTCTTGCTCAATGGACCCTTTGATCATGAGATAGTGTCCTTCTTTATCACTTATGCTGGTTTTTGTCTTAAAGTGTACTTTATCAGAGATTAGAATTGCCACTCCTGCTTGTTTGTTTAACAGTGTTGTAGTTAGCTTGATATATTTTTTTCCATCCTTTAACTTTTAGTCTGTTTTTGTCTTTGTGTGTAAGGTATGTATCTTGCAGGCAGCATATTGAAGGGTCTTGTTTTCTTATCCAGTCTGCCACTTTGTGTATTCACTGGTGCATTCAATCCATTGACATTCAATGTAATTATCGATAGGTATGAACTAATTGCTGCCATTATATTAATTTTTTTGGTAGTGGTGTTCATTCCTTTGTTCTGCATGCCTTCTTGTGCTGAGTTTGTGCTTTTTTGTGCTATTTCTTGCCGGTTTCTTCTTAGTTTTCATGTTTGCTTGTCCTGCTTGGAAGTTCATTTTCATGGTAAGTTGTGAAGTATTAACTTTCTTTGAGGTTACCTTATAATCTGTTAACTTTTCTCTCCATTTAAGAGAATCTATTGTATCCTGTAATCTACATGACATCCTCACCACCTGGATCTCTGTTCCTACATTTATCTCTTCCTTGACATTGATATTATTTTGAGCTTCCATTGACCTCCCAGCTCTTTTGAGTTCATTGTCGTAGTTCTGTTCTGTTCTGAACTCTGCAATCTGTCGATTGAGTTCCAGGTGGTATTGTCACGGCTGTCAATCTCTGGTTGTTGTGTGTTCTTGTTGGTTTTCAGTCCAAAGAACTCCCTTTAGGATGTTTTGAAGTGCTGGATTGGTTTTGACAAAATCTCTTAGATTTTGTTTATCCTGGAATGTTTTGATTACACCATCATATTTGATTGATAGTTTTGCTGGATAGACAATTCTTGGTTGGCAGTTTTTTTCTCTTAGCATTTGTATGTGTCTCCCCATTGCCTTCTTGCCTGCATGGTTTCTGCTGAGAAGTCAAAACTTCATCTGATTTGTTTGCCTTTGTAAATGACACTTCTCTTCTCCCTGGCTGCTTTTAGAATTCTCTCCTTGTCTTTGATTTTGCAGAACTTGATTATTTATATGTCTTGGTAATGCTCTTTTGGGGTCTATCCTTCCTGGGGTATGTTTGGCTTCTTGAATGTTTATCTTCTCATCTTTCAAGATGTTAGGGAAATTTTCTTCCCAAACCTCTTCAACTGTCTCCTCTGTGGACTTCTCTGATTCTTCCTGTTCCAGAATCCCAATAATTCTTAAGTTATTCCTTTTCAAGTTATCCAGCATAAATCTTAGATTTTTTTTTACCCTTTTTTATGCTTGCTCTTCTATTTTAGCGGTATTGAGAGATTTATTTGTCTCCCAGCTCACTAGTTCTGGCTTTCATCTCTTCTATTCTGCTCCTTTCCCCATTCAATGTCTATTTCTGATATTTTATTAATCATCTGGACCTCTTTTTGCAGGTTTTGATTTTTTCCAATGCTGTACCAATCTTGTTTGATTGCTCTTGTAGTACTTTCCTGACTTCTTCCTTGTTTTCCTCCACCCCTTTTTGGAGCATTTGAATTTGTTTCCATATCATTTTTCTGAATTCTTTCTCAGGCAAATCCAAAACCTGCTCTTCCTCTTCTGGGGAGCCTTTGGCTGTCTCCATCTTATTTGTCTTAGTTACTCTTTTCTGTTTTTGGACATGATTTCAGATCTTATTTTGTGTTTTGTTTGTCATTTCCAGTAGTTATGTGGGTTTTTTAATGCTTAAATGGATGTTTGTTATTGTGTTATTAAGCCTACTGGGTGTCTCATGGTGGATATGATCAGGAGATAGGCTTCCCTTTTTGCATCAAATGCTTAGCAGCTGTTATTAGCTCTTGTCTCAATGGTGGAATATTATGGAGTATGCCTGTAGCTTGACTATATGACCATGATTGCTGACTCTTCTTGCTAATATAGGGAGAAAAGCTCCTACCTCCAGGAAAAATTGTCATCAAAAGGACCAAGAGTGGAAGCAATATGAAAGCGGAGACAAAACTACCACTTTGAAACAAAAATAAAACTGTGGCCAATTGTCCAGTCGCCTTGCTACACAGGCAGTGCATGTGCACTGTAGAAGCCTCCAGCAGTAGGTGGGGGTGTGCATTCTCTCAGGCCCCTCCTCTAGTCACCACCTTAGAGGTGTGCAGATAGACATTGAGAAGTTAATGGGAGAAAGATTGTCTACATTTTTTTTCTCTGAAGGTCTGTTAGGTATCTACGTGTGCACAGTATAATTCTTGAGATAGTTGCGCCCTTTTATGTTGAGGTTTTACAAATTGTTCATATGGTTTGTCTGTCAGGCCAGACTAGGTTTTTCTTGCTGTGTAGGCCCGAGTAAAGGGTCCTGCACAAGTTAACTTTAGGGCTGGGACCCACAGGCTGACATCATAAACAGCCACCAAGCTCTTTCTCTCTGTGCCGTGGGAAAACTATGGGCTCAGCCTTGGACTTTTTTTGGGGGGCTGGGGGGGTGGTAGGTGCACACCCACCTGCCTGAAGGCATCCAGGTTGGGCAAAGAAGGCGCGACAGGGAAGAGGAAGAAAAAAACGTGTAGAATCCCACACACCTCCTTTTGCAAAGCTTTTATCGCAGGTTCCCTGTGCAGGTCTGGCTGTCGCCCTGCCTTCTGAATGCCGCCCGGGTGGGGTGGCCGCAGAGGGAGTCCCATCTCAAGCATTTCCTAATTTGCAGTATTTTCCTTTATATCGTGATTTTTTTCACTTGCACGTGTGAGAAACTGATGCCGTGTATCTTATGCTAGATCCAGAGCTCTGGTGGTGTTCTGTGAGTAGAGCTTCTCTGGGTTTTCAATACTTCCCCTACAGAGCCTTTCCTACCTGGCTGTCTCTGCTGGTCGCCAAAACCGGAAACCTAAAGTGGTCTTTTGCAACTGATTTGCCTAATGCAATATGTTTGGTTTCTTGACTGCTAAGTGAATTGGGTTCTTTGGACATGTTATCAGGAGGGACCAGTCCCTGCAAAGATTGTCATGCTTATTTAAAGTAGAGACTTCAATGAGACGGTTTGTCACTGTTACTACCATAATTGACTCATGCATGGAATTGTGAGAATTGTGCAGGGCTGGGTGGTGTTTTAATCTTATGCACATTGGGTTACATTGAAGTTGGAGCCAACTCCAAGGCACCTAGTCAACAACAGTAAATTCATTTTGGTGAATTGATCTAAAGGATGTCCCTCGGTACTATCTCAAAACTCTGCAAAGCAGAGTTGCCCTTTGACCATACAGATCTTCAGAGGTCTCTTCTATGACCAAAATTATAATTTATTACTGTAATTAGGTAATGTCATGAAATTTTACCATAAAATTGTGTAATTGTTTTTTCTTAATAGTATGTCTATTTGCTAAGCAACTGTAGTTCGTATATATGTGTTTAAGAGTACATAAGCAGCAGTCAAGAGATCAGAAGACGTATTGCATTAGGCAAATCTGCTGCATTGGAACTTTTTTAAAGTGATGAAGAGCAAAGATGTCACCTTGAGGACTAAGGTGCGCCTGACCCAAGCCATGGTATTTTCA